GCTTCTAGCTACTACTAGTAAGGCACTTGTTACTAGAAGCGATGCACTTGTTCCTAGTAGCTTCTAGCTACTACTAGTCCTCCATCTTTCGCCTCGTTGCTTCACCGGACACTTCGCCTTCCGCTGCCACGGATAGGTCTCCAGGCGCGCGCGAAGGGTCGAGCGCAGCATCGGGGCGGCATCGGCCGGAGCCACATGGTTCGGTTTTATTATCAGCCCTTTTATTCTTGGGGCACCTTTTTGATTCAGTTAAAGAAAGTTATGGAAAGAGAGTTTTGTAGGACTCAATCATTCTTTGAGAGGTGCAGGCACCTTTTTCGATGCAAGTCTTGAATGTTACGACAGCTACAGTGCAACATCAAGTGCAAACCCGTTTGTCTTTTTGCTTGAGCAAAGTTCTTGGAATCACAAGCCCACACATATCAAGTGTGTGGACGCCTCTACAACACAGCTCAGTGCAACTTGTCGTGCTTTGTGTTGGGCTTTGACAGCACTCGACACATGGTAGGACAGATTGATGTCACTTCCCAATGCTGAGTTTTACTGTTCCCATTCGAGAAGGGACCGGGGCAATCTTGCTCAACAGAAGTGACGCAAATATATCCATGATTGGCTATGTTTGTTGATCCTCTTAAATGCTAAGAAAGGACATCCTGTTCTTTTGGTCAATGTCTGCCATGTTCAATTGGGACTTTAAAACACTTAAAAGAACACCCCCAGCTTCTGGTGATACATGATACACTCTGCTATGTCATGCCTTAAAAAGTACAGTTGCCTCACTCTCTTTTGGGTTTAACATTTACCCATCCCCTGGGAAAAACAAAAAACACCTCGGTCTTAGGTTGGAGGCCATCGCTTTCAGGTTGAAGGCCATCGCTAGTAGGTTGGAGGGCAGGCGGCGACCCTTAAACATTGAAACCTCGTCCCTCCCCTTGGGCCATGTCTCCCATGTTTCCCATGTCTTCACTCTTCGGACCTTTTTTCGGCCAAGGTCGGCCTCAGTGCAGAGCCGGTTCCAGTGGCTCGGAGTGTTGGAGCATCTCCACTTCAAGTGGACCTGGCGGACACAGCGCCACACGTTCGCGTGGGACCCAAAGCCCCAACTGTTGTTTTGCAGTTTGTTCTTCCTTTGTCTTAGCGTGACTTCTTGGGGTTACATTGTCCTCTGTGCTCAAACTAAACATCAAGCTCTCAATCTGCCATTGCAATGGTGCAGCTGCACACTGAAATTAGTTCCCCTGTATCTAACGAACAAAGTAAACACCAACATCCAAAAAAGAACAAACATGTCCATTGCATACGTGTTCCATCATCTTCCAACGGTTTCTTGAGAAAGCCCGACAAAGCAAATACTGGTGGTCCGGTCCGGTCAGAAGGAGCATTGTTTTTGGTGGTCACCAAAGGAGCTCCTGGATATGGGGACACTCCAAGGTGGGACATATTAATATTGATTTGACAATCTGGTGGTTCTACCGAGCACCGATCTGTTGATTTGATTTGCTTGAGGCAGAAATACTGCACGAAAACCCATCCCCCAACAATGCTCATGCAACCCTAATGGCAAACATCACGTAACAGAATGCGTCCACAGAAGTATAGGCAATAACACAAACATGATTGAGGTCTAGAATCTGGAAATGATAACACAAATGTTTTGTTGGTTCTGTTCTTCTCTCGTGACGACTCAGCCAGCCGTAGTCAGTGGCTTTCAACTCAGAAGAATTCCGATGGAAACATAGGGAATCGAGAAATTATCCTGCACTGCCTTTTCCCAAGAGGCTGTATCCCACATCACATGAATCAACAACGGTTGCAGAGTGGAAAAGCCGCCTGGCTCCGGCATCTGCTGTGGCCAGTAGTTCAGCGAGGCGGCCAAGGTGAGGACTGAAGGCACCAAACACGTGCGAATCACAAAGGTGTCCTCACACGGTCAAGTCAAGCGTTCTTCTTCAGCAAAGTGGCCACATGGATTGTAAATGTTTGTGATTCTGAGTTGGTGTTTAATGGTTTCCACACAACCAATGATTTGCCGTTCCTAGGATGTCAAACCTATGGAAACAGAATACAGTAAATATCATAATGATCCACATTTTTGTTAACCTGTTCGCTCGATATTTCGATCGTGCAACGTAGGCCACCAGCCTGTTTGCAATATAGGGAATCAAACTCGTCAAACATGTGTTTGCTTCATCATGGGGAGATAGAATATGAAATAATTGCAACATAGGTCAGTTCTGGTGTCTGGAAGCTAGGTGCGTGTGCATGTTATTTCAGTGTTTGATTGACATCGCACCACTGTAGTGCCCTGTCAACCACATATCAGCCCATCCAATATTTTTAGTCTTTCGTTGCCCAACACTTTGAGTATTGCACTGCAACATGTTGAAAGTTCGTTGTCAAAAAGCAATATTGTTTTTGCCAAATGTTGCCAGCATTGATCTTCACAGCCTGTGGGTCTGCAACTTCTGAAACGACCTGAAGCATCTATTCACGGTCGGGTTCAGGGTTCAAGGCCGCTCAGCCGAGTAAAATACAATGACAAGAAAAGACCAGCATGGCAATCCGACCTGGGAACCCTGAAAAACATCCCATTTGACCGTTTTGCTGGAAGCTCCAGGCCCGTCTCTGCAGCAGAAATGTTTTTTGCATTGCTTTGAGATGTAAAACGCAGCACTTGGGGCAATGAATGCGAATCCTTCCCATAAACCAGGAAAGCACAGGGAATCGACAACAAGTTGATCGCTTCTTTTTGTTGGAATCGGGAATACTTCACCGATAAACCAGTTGGTTGCGATTCCCTGTTCCGAGGTGGAAGCCCAGGCCACAGCTGGGCGATTTCCCCAACTCTACCTATTTTGGCAGAAGGACCTATCGATCTGTGGCCGCACGCAGCTCTTCACAGCTGCGTGGTCCTAGCCTAGCACTGCTTTTTTGCGTTAGGCCACGGGTCTTCAAGCGTGCGAGGTGGTCACATAATATCACAGATCGACCTTGTAAACGAGAGTTGCCTTTTTGCCCGAGCTGCAGAATCACGTCAGCTGCTTTGGTCAATGCGACCCTTGGTCATTCAAGATTCTGTGTGTGACCCGCAATCGGTGGGACTGGGGAGGCTTCCTGGCCATGCGCATGATGTATCCTTCAACCGTTTCAAGTCTGCTTCTGGCCTCCACGTCATCTTGCTTGGCCTGGCAGCTCAACTTGGCCATCCTCTTTGGGTTTCAGTTTCTTTCCAAGTCAAACCTCCTCACGCAACATGGACAGCCTCTCTCTGCCGTTCGCTTCTTGGCTGAGTAGTTGGATGCATCTTTGGGCCGCTCGTCACGGGGTGCCATCCTGTGACGTTCCGGAGCGTCTTCCCCTCGTCGGAGGCGGGGTTTGGATCCTTCCTCGCGCAGATGACTCATACTCATCCTCATCAACTAGGCTGCCGTAGGCACTCCAAGTCTGTCAGGTGACGAGGTGCGAAACCAACGACGTTTTTGGCTACTCATCTGTCTGCCACGAGTACCACGACAACGAGTACCACGAGAACGGGTCCCAACAAGGAGGGCCACGGCCGACAGACCTACCAGGTCAAAAGAAATTGGCACATGGAAATTCCCTTGCCCTGGGTGGATCATGACACTTTGTGGGAGGACGAAAGGATACAAATAGATTAAGCCATATTAAGCCAGTTCTCTGCTTAACTCTAGCGGGGAGGACCCTTCCTGGTTGGGCTGAACCCCAATGCAAGTCGGATGTGACATGTCTAGACACAGGATCACCGTGAGATGCGGCACCATTCTGTGCCCTCTTTGTTTCGTGGATCACTTCCAGATTAACGAATGATGTGTTCTTTACCTTCACATCTCAAACAGTGAGCCTTCCCCAGCTAATCCCCCTAGTGAAACAAACAATAGACCATTATATGTATATACTAAATGTCTCCCGGAAAGCAAACCCCTATGGTTATGGCTCTAAGCCTGTGGTACCCTGTTTTTTTTTTTGAAAGTCGTCTTCCTTCCGGGACGATGCCATTTCACTTGCAGAGTTCGTCAGAGTACACAGGAACACCTGTTGCGGAAATTCAGAAGCCGAAGAAACCATCAAGACTCCAAAGGCATCGCTAGTAGTAACGATCGCGACTAGTAACAAGGGCATCGCTACTAGTGACAAGGGCATGAATACTATGGTAGCTAGAAGCTACTAGCTGCTACTAGTAACAATTTGCATTTAGTAGCAATGCACTTGCTACCAGTAGCGATGCGCTTGTTACTAGAAGCTACTATAGCAACTTGCGGAAATGAAGCCCAAGAATCCATCAAGACTCCAAAGGCCATCACAAAGCCGATCTGATTGTTGCTGGGCACATCACCTGAGCCATGAGCCGGGGGCGAAAAATTCCACGACCTGGGTCAGCCAACACCGGTTTGTAAAGCACCCGAAATCGGAGGGAGCTGGGTGGGATTGCCTCAACCCATCAAAGCCAAAGGTCTCACTCACCAAAGCTTGGTCTCGACACATCATGCACCAAGCAACGTCTCGACACATCATGCCCACATGACGTGTTTTTTGTTGGGTCAATGGGTCATTTCACCATGAATGTAGGTTTTGGGAAACACAAAACAACACATATGAACATTAATGCAATCATGCAAAGCATAAAACCATGCATACTACCAGGTTGATATACAACATTCCACCCTATTCCAGCTTCATGGTGGTGTTGCACCATGTAAAAGGTCTTTTTGGGGGTCTTCCTTCGAATCCCATACGGTCATACGTGATAAGCTCAAAAGTCGAAAAGGAAGAATACACAAGGTGTCTTGTGAATCTCATCAATGACCTGCCGACTCAAGCACCTGCCTATCTCAGAGCCCATTGTCCAGTAATTAGAGACATTCGGAAGCTCTTCAAAGAGCCATCTAGCATAGAACGTGGCCTACCCTTTGTACGTTGCGATCTCTTCTGAAAAATCCCCTTTGTACGTTCTATCCACCTCTTCCGCCCGCGACTCTGCCCAGGTTCACTCCTTCCATCACCGGGCGACTAAGCAACAGCCCCCCGAAGGCAATCGCCATGATGAGCCCCGCCGCTGTGATTGTGGGCCCGGTGAGCGTGAGTCCGCCCCGCACCGCCGCGGGGTTACCTCGGTTGGATGGGGGATGAGCTGGGGGACATATCTGGATGAGGCAATGAGGCCGGATGTAGTCGTGGAAATTGTGGTTTCTTTTCAAAGATCTTGTTTGAGGGGATGCAGTGCTAGTTAGCTTCTTGTTGAAGCCAGGGTGCAAGGGATCCGACGTTTGTTTGGTCCATCTAAATCTGAACAGGCTGCTTCAAACCAAACTGGATGAAGAAGCCAGCTCGGACCAATCCACTGCATCAAACTTCTCCGGGGTGTTCCCCCCACACGGAGACGCTTTTCTTGGGATGTTCATTCGCAATTCGCAGAGGAGGTGTCTTGTCGGACATCGGAATGCTGCGCCACGCGAGCGATCAACACATGATGAAACAATGTGAAACATGTGCAAATCTGTAGAAAAAGAAACTGGCTGCACACATCTGGCAAGACATCTGCAACCACATCAGGAATACAGGCGCCACACCAGCATGAACCGTTTAGCGTGACATTCCCACAGGTTCTGTTTGTGATGAACACCAGGTAAACTATTGCAGGAAACATACACTTGAGATAAACTGGAGCAACACATCAGGCACAAATCACCCGAATCTTCTCACGGGAGAAACACCAACAGTGCCACTAATGCTGGAAGACATCCTGCAAAGGCCCATGAATCACCTGGAATCTTGGACATATTGCCAAAAATTGCTAAGCTGCTTGCATCTGCATATGCCACTCGTCTTTTTCATGTGTTTGTTTTGTTCCGGAGAACTCTTCGAGGCCGCTCTCGAACGAATGGATCTTCGGGGCCGGGTCGGACCGGGTCGGATGACCAATCCAATCGCAGCGGCTGTAGCCCTTCTTTCGGAGCTCCACCACGCGCGCGAAGAGGAAAACGTCGTAATCCAAGGCCAGACCGATGATGATGGTGCAGGTGAAGACCTCCATAACCCTGTGCTATGGGGAATCCCTTTTTTTAGCAGGTCACCACACCACCGAAAATTATCTTGGTAACATGTGTACCTGGTAACGATTGATTCACTGGAATGCTGCGGAAGGAATGCTGCAATTATGAACAGTCCCCTTTCCATTGGATTGTCTCGGTCTCTCAATGAAAAGCTCCTGGCATGAATATTGAAGGATTCCTGTTATTGCGGCCAGATTTACAGTATATATCAGTCTCATTTTAGATCTGTGGCTAGTGATTCAGTGGATTCATTACAGCCAGGAAACTGTTCAAACAAGCAAAGCAAAGAAGAACAGTAGAGCAAGCAAACAAACAATCAAGCAACAGTAAACAGTGGAAAAAAACATAATGTTACCAAAAAGTTACAGTACTTATTCATATGACACATACTAACCTAGGAGATCTTTCATGGAAGGCTATGTCAGATATGTATATAAATTAATGTATTGGCAGTGAAACATCTGCAATCTGCACCTCCTCATAACATATGCAAACACTCATGATCACGTAGCAAGGGTTTGTATGCCCGTATGTCCCACAGTGCTGAAAAACCACACACAAAAATCCAGCACAATCATTTTAAAAACAATATATTTAAACACCACCCTGCCATCTCCGATGCTAAAGAAATCACTGCTTATAGGATATCGGATAACCCTCATCATGTTCGATGTGTTTGGTTATATAGACTTCCAAACCAACCAATAGATTGTGGGAGCTTCATTGGCAAAACAGGTAAATGTTGTTGATATCGCTTTATATACGTCCGTGTTCAAAACCAATGATTGTTTCATCTATTCGTCCTACATGACCAAGGTTACTTAGTGTCCAGAGTTTTGGGACGTCGCCCACGAAACACCCTACAAAAACACATTGTGTTTTTTCTTGTGCGTCCAAAATGCCGGAGCAGCCCAGTAAAAGCCGCCGCCCGGAGGACTAGTGAAAGGATTGTTCCTCGGCGTCCATCAACTTCAGCTGAGGCCCTCACATACAAAGGTTTCAAGGATACAATCAGTTTTTAGTTGCCGCCCTTTCAAAAATATCTTAGAATGGCCATTCTGGCACAGTTCCCCTATTGAACCCCACTGAAATGTTGTTCGCATTTAGTCGAACACTTGTTCAACCGAAAGCAACGTTGACTGGTCCCCTTTAGATTGGCGTTTCCACTGAGCCTGTCTCAGCACAAAATGTCATGGGTTCCCCAACCCACGATTCCATTGACCGTTGGCATCGAAGAGTCGTTTTTACGATCTAGGACATTGTGCATCCACCTGCGGTTTAAAGGAACCTCCTGATCCTTCAAATAGTCAGGGCAAACCGAGTGCTGAAGCCTCCAGCAACACCATCCCCAAAGCAAAACCTGGCTTCTCCCACCACCAACCAGCCACGGTCACTCCGCTCGCCGTTTCACCGAAACCCGAGGGTCCCAGGACCTCCGGGGAGCCAATTGAAAGCTCCGAATTGGTAGACCCACACGGCCACGCCGAAGACCGCGGCCAAGGGCACCACCACCTGGGCGCGTCCAGTGCCAACAAAAACGCCGGCATGAGCACTGCGCTTTGAGCAAGGCAAAGGCGAAGTGAGGAACAGTTGACAACACCAGGAGTGATGATCGGTGGCTAGTGGCTAATACTAGCAGTATCAGTAGTATGTACTATATAATTACTATTTTCATGGTTATCATTCTGATGGTTACATATTATATATGTCCTCTTAGGACGGGGATTTGTTTCTGCAGTGCGTGACGCAAGCCAGAAACAACCGAAACATACCTCAACCCAAGGGCCTATAGATTTCCTTGTGGGGGGCCAGCTGCTTGAACCTGCAAATGAACTAAAGACTGTTAAAGATGATAGAATTAATATTATGGCCCTTGCATTGTAGGTCATCCTGAACCATGAAAACTCGGGAATTATCCAAAACACCGTCCCAGTTGCTATGGTTGCCAGCCCTCAGCAAAACCCTCAACTCGCATCATTCTGAAAGACACTTGCTGAAGAAAAGAAATCAACATCTCGAAATCAGCTAGACCTGTAGATCTCGTTTACCACACTGGGGATCCGCCTTTCGCCGAGTTATGAACCTTGGGAATGGTGAGGCTTCTGCAACCACTGGCCACATACCTTGCCCACACTCGCTCTGAACATCGTCCATTCACCCAACACGGTTTAGCAGCAGCAGCAGCAGGAGGCAAAGACTGATATAGAATGATCTTATAAAAAACACATATAATTTTGCCGGCACAACCCATGGTTTTCGGTGAATATTGAAAAGGTTGTGCAAAAGGAGCTAGTCTATTGCTTGCAAAAAGAGCAGTGCTATCAAAAAAACGTATTAAAAAGGTAGCCGGTAGAAAGAATATGACGTAGATCCCCTCAAGAGGCGCAGCTGGGAGTTGAACTGCTTGGGGGGCGGGGCTAGCCTGGCATATCAGGTTTTAAGGCACGAAGCTCATCCCAATACCAAATTGATAAAGAGCTTTCGTGACATCAGAGTCCATGTTCTGTTTAAAGTCAACATGGTCAACGTGACGGCATTCGTCGTTACTCCACGTCCAGTGGCTGTGATCAACATCTTCACCGGCGCCAGGGCGGCACGGAAGGCGTACGCGATCAGCGAGAAGACGCACAGAACGGTGCCGCAAACGATGTAGGGCAATCCTCAAATGTGTGGGAAGACGAACAAAACGACATTATAGAATAGATCTTGAAAACCGACTAAGATGTTGGGTGATGGAGGGTGATGTAGGGCGATGTTCTCCTCTTTGTTAAAGGACAAAATCCTGAAGAATCCCATAGTTCAGTCTTCGTTGACATGGGCATTCCTGCCCATCGACATCAGCGCAGACTGCTGGACACGTCCTTGGACCCTCATGGAGGTAAGAGACAGTCTCCGTCGCTGAAAGAAGTGCTCAGTCGTTTTGCTGAGACGTCTTCGATTCCAACAAAATGCCGTTTTGTAGACTCTTGATTCTATTTCGACCCCCCCAAGAGGAAGAGGTGAATCAAGAGTCATGCATCGGAAACTTGAGAGGTCGACCTCGGCGTTGGACCGCCTTTCACGACGCGGTCCAACGCCGACGTCGAACGGTGGAGTCGGATCGAGTGGATGACCTGGAGTCGGTCTGCGTTGGCGGCTTCGGCGACGGTTTCACTCGTGTCGGTCCGTGAGGTCGGTCCGTCAGGCAGTGCAAGACGGCAACGAACTGAGTCTCTGACAGCGAAGGTTGGCCTGCTCTAGGCCCATTAGGCACCGAAATGGCAAGAGATCATGGATATGTTGTATCAACCCGCGATGTGAGGTGGCGAAAAACGAAAACACCCTCCGAGGGGTCTCCACGACTTGTTGCACGAATCTCCAGGTGGGCGGTCAACATCCCATGATGCACAGAAGACTAAACGAACATGCGAATCCACTAGTAGGCAGTTCGCACAGAAGACTGCAGCTGTGTATTCCATGTGTATTTTACAATACCAAAGCTGACTATCCAAAGCTAGGACTGCGCGATAATAAGCCCTTTTTGGCATCCTTAAAGGGTGTCTGAAAAAGGCTTTGAGACTTGAGTGACTGCCCATGTTCTATCCGGGCTCCAATGGGTCACTGTGGCAATCGAAAAGCTTACAGAGCACCGAAAGAAATCCAATCAAAACCGAAAGAAATCACAAATGATAAGCTTACATAAAAAGAAACCTTGGACCTTGGACCCAACTTGTCAGATACTATCAGCCCGTCAAACAAAGGTATATTGTATGTATCATAGAACTATAATGATCTATAGATAAATATCTTACTAATTAATATGTTGTTTATACTATATATATATACATAAGTGTTATGTTTTTGTTGCACCTCAGCCATAGCAGTCCCACCTCGGCAGCACTCCAGTTGCCCCACCTCCCAATCCTCCGTCCGAGACGACGGCTCCGGACGGCTCCGCCCGAGCGGCGGCGGTAGGTCACCTGGACGATGTCGAAGACCACCGTCAGGGTGCCGAAGAGCAGCACCGAAGAGCTGCTCGCGTCGTCCCGGTCCAAGTCCTGGACGGGCGATGGGGAACACCCCAGAAAGGTGGTGTTGGGTTGAGAGACAGACAGAGGTAGGTGCAACACCGAGAAACGGAGAGAAGACACAAAGAATCTATATAGCATATAGCATATACTATATAGTAACCGTGCCAGTTACAGCTTGATGCCACCAGCAACCCAACACTGCAGCTGATACAACAGCTAGTAGTGTCAGGAAGTCGCAAGACCCTCATCAACTACGATGCTGGAGACTCAAACACCCATCGGAGAAGTATACTGGTTAAGGTCTTTGGAGATGATGCAGCTGGCGGAATGATCATAGTTCAAAACAACTGTTGATTTGAGACAGTGGAGAAAATACCCCTTGTAATCTCTTTCAATGTCCATATTGTGTGCATTTGTTTTTAGAGATGTATGTTTATTAGGCTTTCACGGGATGGAGTAATTGGATGCAGAAATCTTCCCAACCCACTACCGATCGCAGCATGCAACAATCTGCCACAAACACTAATCAGCAAAAATATTCTATGTTCCCAGCATGGAACTTATGAAGATCTGAAGATGTTGCTTAAAAGTCAAGTTCCTTGCTGGTTGCACTTGGAGTCTGCTGCCTAGTCACAGCTGTAGCACCCTCGAGCGCGTGGCGGGCAGCCAGCACGAAGGGCCACAATGTGTCGCTGAACGGGTCAAAAGGCACCTGAGGCACAAATCAGCAAAGCAAAAAGTAAAAAAATGAAGAAACACTGGCACCTGAAAGATTAGGAAACGTGCTTTTTTGGACCAATACCACAGGCCTTCCTTGAAGTTCAAGGATTGTTTTAACATCTTGTGGGGTTCATGTTTGGCCTGCATGTCACGAACCAGAAGCGTCACCATGGGGCCGCAAACGTGTGGGGTTCAATAGGCTCCCAGGACCGGCGTTCACTCCCCAAATACACTGATAGCTGATAGAATCAACAAGGAAGACCCGCTGGGAAACTAAAGTGCTCTTATTAAGATCTTGTCCTGCGTGCCATAGATGGACATGATCCGGATTCATAGTTGAAGTTTAAACAAATCCACAAAATCCATTGTGCCATTGCCGCCGTGTTGCGTGGCGTTCACTTCCTATGCACATGTCTTTTGCTTCTCATTTTTGGTGTCGTGGCAACGGACAGTAATGCAATCTTCCAATGTCAAAGGCGCTGTCAGCATGAGGATGGAGGAATGTTCTCCAGTCCTCACATTGGTCACGGGTATAGGAGGGCCACCCAAGCTTCGTACCAACCAACTGCATGATACTGCATATGTGAAAAGGACAAACCTGTTGTTTTGGTGTTGGTGTTTATTCTTGAACATTGATCCTATACATGGTTTGGTTTCAGTATGCGCACATGACCTCCAAGCGTTGATTGCTACGGGTGAGAGAGAGCTAGCATTTTCCAGTGGCTTGGATGTTGATGGAGCATGTGACCAAGAGCTTGCTTGATTCTGGATCGGATCTGAATCTGTGGATGGCACATGTCTTCTTGTTTTGTCCAATCGTCCGTGATGGTCGGCCCTTCTGCTGGCTGTGTCACAGCAGAACTCTGCAATTTGGTCTGTGTTGGCATATCGCATCTCTTGCCCAAAGAAGCTAACCATGTCGTGGTTACCTGTTTTTGAGCCCAAAGAGGAGTTGGATTCTCAACACAACCCAGTGGATGAATCGTGGTGTTCAGAAGCAAATGACATCCTGCCAAGACCCACGTCGTTTCATTCCACGCCCGATCTCCGCCTGACCTCCTCGAAAGGCCAAAGGCCCAGCAGTTTCATGTCGGGATGCTTGTTGGTGGGGCGGGATGCCCAAGATCCACTCACCTGGTGTGCTTTTCTCACCTCTCCCAACGTGATTCCGTGAATTCCCTCTTGGATTAAGCCAAAAAGAACTACATAGCCCCTTAATTACGCCTGCTTCCCGAACCTCAGGTCCCAGTGAGTTCACCCCTTCAACTCTGCAGATCGCCCCAAGGCTCCGGGAACTCACCAGCTTCTGCCACTGTTCCCGGTAGGTCTCACCGATGTCGCCCGGCAGCTCCAGCAGACGTTCCGCCGTCAGCGGGCCGAAGGGGTGCCTGGTCACCGGAGAAGTCACCGACATGTCCTGCCTCGTTCCTGCATGATCCAGTGGTTTCCCTCGCCCCGGCGGACCTTTTGGGTACAGGTCGTCTTTTGGGGGGAGGATCAATTCAGTAGTGAGAGAATCCGTCGGACCTTCAGAGGCCAAAGAGATTTAGAGGTGGAAGGGACATGAAGGGAACTAGAAAAGCAACCAACCACCTCATCAGCCCCTCCAAAAGCTCCAAAATCCCAGAGCCCAAAAAATGGATGACCCAACACAGAAGCGTTTCGACATCTGGGATGTGCAGTCTGACATCTCGATTCAACTCACTGATCAATCGGGGCCGATTCCCAACCAGAAAACTCGAGCGTTTCTGTTCAAAGCTGTCGGGAGAAAAAGGTACTCGAGTGACACCAACCAAACATGATGCCCTGCTTTCTGTTCTTTCTGCAAGAAGAACCACTCAAAAGAAATGCTTAGCATTGTGAGGAGTTGCTATCTTTGCGTGTTGGTCCCCGGCCAAACTTCTGACATCTGTGTGAACCAAAACTGGGTAGCCTCGGTCCGGAGGTTGGTACCATTCAATCTTCCATGGGTCCATTCTGGTGTGCGGAGAAAGATTCCATTGCTTTTCGTGGTCTTTCCAATTCAACACTCCTGCTGTTTCCCACGGACACTCCGGATCTTGGTTCAACCGCTTAAGGCCAAAGACTGTGAAATCCTTGGGACCCCAAGGTCCGTCTCCGGTCCCAACCTACCAAGGCTTTCGTGACAGACACAAGGATCCCTCTTCACGGAATCGATTTGCACCTTGGAAACGACCAAATTCGCGCTTTGGGGATGTTTCCCTAGGGAATCCAAGTACCTTCTCAGAAGGTACTTGGACCCTCCAAAACTGCATAACAGTGTCTCCAATCACCTTCTGGGAAAGTGCTTGGATCCCTAGGGTTTTGGTATCACTGGTGGCATCCAGGCCGCAAGGCATCCGTGACGTTGGAGCGCCAGTTCAGGCATTGCACTGTGGCACCGCTGCCACCGGCGGACGAGGGGAGCAACGCAGGCGAGAGGAAATCGGACGCCTTCCTGGGTGAAGGCCATTGGTTTCACCAACGGAAGAATGGGCATCAATGGGCTTCAATGAGCTTCATTGTGTGGAGGCATAGGACCTCAACGACACATGACCGGGTCATGGTGACATGGCCATTGGTCGTTCCAATGAAGTCGAAGGGGCTTTTGCTTGCTATTGGACCGGAGGCCTGGGACCTCAGGATCATCTCTTGTTGCATGCAGCATGAGACTCAAACCCAATTCTCTGGGTTGCTTTGGATCTTTGGTGCTCATATGTACTCATGCTTTATTCAGTGGTTTGACACTGGAATTGAGTAGAGGAATTATAACTTCACACCACCAGGAAACACTGAGGGACTTTGAAACATCAGCCAATCACCCCACCAGGGCGCGATACGGGTGGGCTCTTCTCAACATCCAGGGACATATGATCCTCTTGGCGCGCCTCATGGCACCCTGGCATCAACGAAGGACATCTCTTTCCGGCCGTGCGTCAAGTAAAAGGGATCCCCCGAGAGCTCTTGCAGCAGGGAGTTGGCAATGTGACAACCTGTCGAGACGTTGGCCAAAAGACTTGGTGCACCGCAAAGAACCGCAAAACTTGGACCGCGGGGAGCCATTGTTAAAACCGGCGCAAACAGGTGCGGTGATCAAACATGGGCTCTGCATCACTGGTATATCTGTGTATTTGGTTATAGATGAACTAGTCATGCCTGGTGATGTCTAGTGTACTAAATTCAACCAAATTGTTTGCTGCCAAGGCTGACAGCATGTCCCAGGCTTTGGTGTAAAGCTTTCAATCGGCTCTTTGAACGGCTCCAATCGGTGAGCTATCGAACAGTTCCCCAAAAGACCCCCATTGAAAGACCCTCATGAATCTGCAAAGGAGGCCATCTGAAGTATTACCGCCGACCCGACATGGACAGCCACATCTGACATGGGCGATTTCAAGGATCACATCCACCTGTTTAACCGGGAGATCCGAGCATCGCATGGTTGGAAAAAGGACACGCTCATCGCGATGACGATGTACCGACGCGAGAAACTCAATCCATCGCTCCAAGCAACTGAAGTTGAAATATTCATCACTCCTCACCGTCTCATTGCCACTGGCTGGGATGATGACCTCAGAAGAACGAGCAAGAAAAAACGATGTGTGTTGTTCGGTCTCTTTATTGGGTTAGTTTTATCATTTTTTGACCTCAGATCAGATGCTCGGATGCTCTGGATGCTCATTGCGCCAAGACCTGCCATGGCGCCAGTGACAAGACCTGCCAGGCTTAGCCTGTGAGTCGTCTCCGCGATTCTGGGACCAACCCGTGGCCACTTGAGTTGGGAACCATCTGATCAGGATGGAGTTTGTTGGTGAAATGTGGATTCAATCTGCTGCTGACCGGAGAAGTTGCTCGCCAACCACTCAGCACAATGAGGAGTTTGTTCTTTGAGGTTTCTGAAAGACTGTCGGGTTGATCTTTGTCTGGAACCCGATCATCTCCCGATGGCACCAACCCCTCGCAAATTCCTTCCTAGGGGATTTGCGTAACAACCACTTCAGTGTTGCGACATTTATTGCGTACTCCGCGACTGCCCTGCTGCAAGGAATCACCACGGTACCACATAGCGCCAGAAAACAATATGCATTTGGCACTAATGCTTCACAAAAGGGAACTCAATGATGTATCTACCCACTCCACCAAACCTCCTGGAATCTCCTGGAGCACCATCACATCCCAGCAAAACCGTCACCTGTGGACATGGGGCATACTGAGGGCTCAACTTGCCCGCGGGGAATTCGCTGATGAGCTGGTGATAGGCCAAGCTGGTGTCCGACTTCCCCGGAAAGGTCAAGGTGTTGGCGAAGCTCTCCTCGGCCGAGCGTGTCAAGGAGTGAGTCGAGATGGCACCAGTGATGGCCTCACCTGGACTCTCCCCATCAGCACGGCGATAGAGGCATTTCTTGGATTAAGCTTGCCCTTTCATTTGTGTTGGCTACCGTGCAGCCCATGGCCATTTGCATGTTTGTCAAAATGACTCACTGAGTCTATCTCTATGAGCCTATGAGGATCCTGCAGTCAAAATTTCTGCCCCTTGGTCTTGCCTTGCCAGTCCCTGCAGGCGGAGGCTTTGTTTTTCATGCAGGCAACCGTGATGCTCGACGTCTTCTCTGAATGGCTTTCCCAGGGAACTTCCATGTCGGCTTTCCAACGGAACGTCCCGAGCCCCCGAACTGTGCCACATGCGCAGGGGGGCTATCTCAATCTGATAGACATCCATCGACTAGTCCATCCACCGTATCTCGATTCGTATGTGACCTCCTCCGACTGATGCAAATGCGTATAAGAGAGCCCGCCTACAAATTGATGTTACAAGCTCTCACAGAGAAGAACATTAACCTTGTAATGTCTGGTATCAGCTCCGGATGGAGAAATGGTTTGATCCCATTGCCTCTGCCCTGCTAGTCTTCAATTTGCTATCGTTCTGAGCCACGGAGCAGTTCCTCAGCCTATGGGAGGAGAGGGGTGCACATTATGCCCATGATCCACTCACTTAGTGACTAAAAACACCAGCAGAATGTGACTCTTAAGGTACACCTTCTGATTTTCCGAGGCTAGCTGATGTTGATAGATTGATAGCTTTTGTTCCGTGCCACACAATGTGCTCACCTTCTCTGTGCATATGTTCAACCCTACGAGACAACCCACTGTTTCCATACAGAAGATGCGGCGTGTCTGAGCGGTCTGTAACCACCCCTGGTGCCCGTGTTCACCCCCACTTGCAGGCATGTCCTGGCTATGTATTCGCCACTTGCGTCCTTGAAAGAGGACAATAAGAAATTGGAAGTTAACACACCAAGCATCATCTAAATTTAAATCCTTAGGCAAAGCCGGGTTGGGTAGCATACATCATACAAAAAGAAGCACCCTCTCTGCAAATCAAGCAGTGGCCCGGTGGGTAGTGGTTCCCTGTGGATCCCACAAGATTTCAACTCCATGCAACCGTGCAAAAAAAAACGAAGCGTCAGGTTGTGCCGCTGTGCCCTTCGAGTGTCATGGTAATGAAGAAGGACCGCACACGCTGGCAGTAGAAAGGCCAAGCAAACGATGGGTATCAAATACACGCCTGGCTGCTTGGTCACCACCTTGCGCAGGTGAATCATGCGAAGCCCCAAGAAGTCACAGGTGGGGGTACAACCCTTCTTCCAAAGCAAGCTGACAAAGTGGGTGCTCAAAAATTATATTGTCCTTTGGCAAGTGGGTGCTTGTAGCACCAAAGTGGACATTTTCCACATCCAATAACCACCCAAATCGGGTGATGCTGGCATACATCAGGGGCGTTAAAAGAAGACAAAGAGAAAACCTCACGCCCAAAACGACGAAACGTCTCCCGACGTTTCAGATCCCGACCTCCAAGACCTGACCCGGTCACTGGGCGTGACGTCGGCGGCAGGTGCTGGGGGGCCCCACCTTCGCCACGCGCGGCCAGCACTTCCCGCTCCCACGGCAGTTGCAGCGACGACCGCAGGAGGACTGGCTTCGGCGCGAGGCGCGGAGGCGGAGGTTTTCCTCAGAAAAAGGGGCGTGACCGGGTCACATCTGAGTGTGATGGAGTCCTCGGAGTCCCAAAAGTGCTGAGATGGACTGATGCAAGCACATAAAACAAACTTGTTATGTTGCATAATTGAATAACGATATTTACTATAAGGTCATGGGCAATCCAAATCAAGGTAGATACATGGTGCTGTCGGGCCGTGTGGAATCTGCACTTCTACAATCCCAGCGTCGGCGCCAAAGAGGCTTGGGAGCGCCGTGGTCAGCGCAGGTGTGAGGGTAAGGTTCGACAAGGCACAAAGAAAGACCTGGGTGATCCGCGTGCAATGGGTTCGACCACTGGTGGTTCGACAGCGGAAGAGCAGTCGACTTTTCTTAGAGCCGGGCTCAGCTTCAGGTTCCATGAACGAAGGTTCCGTGGAATAATTAACCCTAATTTTGACAAGACACCAAAAGCGATCGCCCGCGAAACCAGAAGCAAACTCGCGCATGTAGGCGCATGTAGAAAGAATATGAAAAAATGGATCTGATCTACATAGAAACCCGAAATTTAATTTCATATTCGGGTACGGCATGGTACGGGGGTGGCCACTTCATTCCTGTTTGCTTTTTCTATCGTCGCGACGAGGACTTACCGCCAAACAGTCTGCCGGGAGACCGTCAATGAAGCTCCCAGGCCGATCGTGGCAATGCCACCACTTGGGTAGAAGAGCACACCCACCTGGGCGAAACTCGTCTTTGATGGATGGAGTCTCACGTGTGAGGGACTGTGTGAGGGTCTTGAAAGTATCTGGACTTGAACATTGCAAAAACTACTCGGAGAAATCAAACGCCTTGGAGAGATGCATTGAAGTTGTGCCAGACGTTGGTTTGATGTTCTGCACCATCCATGCTCTGTAATTAAGATGGGCTGCTCCTCTTCAAATCCGGAGCTGCTGAATTGAACCTTCTCTGCCAACGGTCAGACCTATAGAGCTGGGTATAGCAAACAACTAAAAGAAACCAACATGATCTGTTGTTTTTTTTTTGACACTTCCGCTTAGACAGTTTGTCCGTCACCCCTCGCAAGCACCACAAGCACGGCCAAACTGTCACACACGCAATTCCTCGAGCAACGGCACCACACCAAACTCACCAAATCTTCCAGGTGCAAATGGGCGAAACGCTGCCAAACGCTACGTCCCTTCGCCATAGAAATCGTCCGCTCAGGTGCGTAGCAAATGATCAGCACCGATGCGCTGATCATCACGACGTGTCCACTCTGCCGCATCGTCGACTTCAAGGCCAACTCCGTGGAAGCGCCTGAAGTCCAGTCCAGGCTCCGAGGGAGTGTTACACTCCAAGCGGCAACTCCATGTGATAGGGGGAGGAGATGGAGGAAATCCGAAGGGGCCGGACATGAGACGTGCAAGTGATTCAGTGGATGTGACGCTCCAACAATGCAGCGGCTGGAGGGGGGAAGGAAAAGAGTTAGCTTTCACCGTTCTGCTGCGTTCCGCGGTCAGAAGCGATCTTCCCGAAAACAACAAACAACAAGAACAACCACACCTGATTCTGCCTCTTCCATGTAGCGCGTCAACATGAAAAGAGAATAGTCAATGGCCAATGCGATTCCTTGATGGCCAGGCGAATGGGGAGGATGGAATGAAGCAAGGGTTCCTGAATGCATACATTGACATAAGTTATAAGTAATTATGTACAAAAACAGCATCTCGTTGAAAACATCCCTGCCCAAATTTAATTCCGGGTCCCAAATGGGAATCTAAACAGGTCCAAAACTGAGTCTAAAAGCTGGATGGATCCCAAATACGATTGACGACCGGCTGAGTCGTGCAGCTGAGATGTTAAACATCTCACCCCACCCAGCCCACCAAACAGGATACAAAATGCACAGTTTTTGGCTGAGTTACAGTAATCTTTACGCGCTAGACTCACGCCCCGAGAGGTGTTCAAGAGGCACTCAATTCTTACTCCAACGAAATATTCCACTAGCCGTAGCCTGAAATCGTTCCCCCGTCAGCCCTCAACCTAATCCAAGCGCCCACACAACAAGAGACTTGCTACCTCAACCTCCCTCCCCCCCAATGGACCTCCAAATGAACCCCACGAACCGTCAATCTACAACGATCCTTGAGTACTGTCCCCTCAATACCTGCCATAATGTAGGCTGCTGATTCATGAATCTCCCAAAAGGGAGATGCGTTCCTATCCAAATCGTAAGGGGGTTACACATCAACAGCCTACGTTATAGGAGGCGAACCCCTGGAATAAGTGCAAAACAATGAGAGCGATCAAATCAGTTCACACTCCAACTCTTTACGCCCAGCATCCCAGGAAAACCATCGTGCTGGGTGCCAAGGGGGAGATATCCACCACATAGACCGCGAAGGGCAGGAAAAGACCCAGCCTAAAGAACAAGGATGTGTCCAAACCATGACAAGGCCACCCCCTACAAACATGCCCTGGCCCGTGGAATGAGAAGCCGCAGCTTGTTCAACGGAACATTTACAGTTTTGGATCGTCTTCCTAAAGATTTGGACTTGCAGCTGGCAGTGCATATCGACTGCTACCATTGACATGTGACATAATCCATCATATGTTGTCAAAAGGCTGCATATGTTTGGCTGCATACCTCATTGATAGATCAAACACACGGCCTCCACATATCCTACATGTGACTGAAAGGACACAGGTGATGAAAATTGGTTGATTCGCTTGGTGTAATCACTTGGCTACCTAGATATCGTCTAAAGACACATGCCAGCTTTTATAGTGGATTTGTGACCTCTCTTACTCTTGCCTTGCTGTCATTTGCTGTCCTTCCGACACAAGCTGGATCCTCGGGAGGCCAAGCTCGAGCTCGGATTCATAGACGTCTTGCTTTTTCGTGAAAAGAGCTCAGACTGTTCATACCTGAAAAGAAACTGTAATTAGAGCTCCAGGCTGCCACAGAACGTTCTAACGTCCCAACGTTGCGACGGATCCATCACCGAGGGACGCTGAAGATAAGCTGCAAATCAAACAGCAAATGGGAATCAACCTTAGGGTCTTCCAAGACGACCAGCTCAAAGCGCCGCTCTAATCCGGTTATATACTCATACAACCATATCATCCAAGTGCCTCACAGTAGAGTAGAGGATGATACCCTAAAATACAAGGTCGAACATGTTGTTTGCAGCCCTCTCCGCCCGGCCTGGTAGGTTCCGGAGGGAACGATTGGCCCAAGCAACCAAACCTATTTTGGAGGACCCCCTGTCTTCCACTATGGGTCAACAGTTTCATATCAGCATGAATTGAATCAACTCCTGCAGGGCACCTGGAATACCCAAGGGCACCTCTCCACAACCTCCCGAACTGATCGGTCAATCTGCGTCTTGCGAGTCTCTCGGTATGGATCTGTCATGATCTAAGCCCAATCAAAAATTGTTTCACTCCTGGAACAGGACTGAACAACTAATTAGGAGAGCCACAAAGGTAACTGTTGGGCTTCTAAACATCCGGCGCATCCCATTTGATCCAAGACTGGCATACATGTGCTTGTCTGCAAGAACCTGCCCACTTCTCCCTGGCTCTTCCACCGCTTGTGAGAACCAGAGAAAAAGGCCACCTCCAGTGCCACGGCACATGAGGCGCAAGGAGCCCACCCTAGAGGCCAAGACCAGCAGAGCAAAGGGCATCACCACAATGTCCTTCTTTTCAATGTCTTGCCTGGCCGGTCCATCGTGATCTCGTGGTCGATCGTGGGACACCGTCCTCCACACACCGCGCACCGCCGGTGCAAGGACGGTGTGTTCATTGGGTGCTGCTAGAGTATGGAGGGCAAAGAAAAAAGGACCAAAAAACACCGAAGAAACTCCACTTGCCTGGGTCAAACCCCCCATAGGCGGCACAAAGGAAACACATGCAACAATGACGAAGCCCTGGTAGGGCTGGGTGTGGTCCTAATCCCAACGAGACGATCTATCGAAATGGGAGCGGAGGCACATTCATCTGTGGGTTTGGGATTGTTGGTCGCAACCGACAGCTGCACGTGTCAGAAATTGTAGCGGGTTTCGGTTTGATGTTATTGTTTCTTCAAATCTGCAGGGTTGTTCTGTCCAACTGAGCTGGCAGTCCATGAACACCCGAACACATTCTTAATAATTACCTCCCCAACAAGAGTCCATGACTCTCTAACACAAGGGTGTGTTAGAGAATCCTGAATAAGCACATGTAAAAACATAGAACATACAATATACTATACTACATATTAATGTTTCATATGATATTACAAATGTTCAATGGAAGACTCCGTGATACTCCATTGTGTCTCATCTCCCCTCCTTGTGCCCGATTCAAGTCGGGGGTGTCACCACATGTCCCCCCCGCCTGGTGGAGGTCAAGGTGTCGGTAAACAGCGCCAGCTGCCCCGCCAGGCGGATGGAGAAGCCACTGGGCGCCTGGCTCTCTGGCCGAGCGACGGTGGTCGTCCACCGTCGGCATCGACATTCGTCTACAAGCTCGGTTGGAGCTGCTTCAGGGTGTACACAGAGCAACAGCGAGCTTTGGGAGGCACAGAAGTGGGAGGCAAATTCTTGTGATGTCTTGTCACTTGCAGGAGGAAGGGATATGTTCCCCTGTAAGCTTGGGATGAAATAGGTGGAGTTAATTCATGCAGCCTCACACGAGAATTATATCTCGATGATGACTCCTGGTCCAGCTGTGACCCCCAACCGGAGTGGCCACTGGTGACCGGGCCTCGTTCTGAAGATCGTGGACCTTCTGGCGCACCTCGCTCAGCCTCAGATTGACGAAGTTGGCCCATGGTTCGTTCGACGAAGCGACCTACCTCACCTCTACGAGCGGCCTACCCCCCCGGTCTTTAAACAAAATGCTTTTGGAGATCCTTGTAACAAGTGCATCGCTAGTAGTAGCAAGTGCCTTACTAGTAGGAAGCTATTAGGAACAAGTGCATCGCTACTAGTAACAAGTGCCTTACTAGTAGAAATGGGGATGTTAGGGTGGGGAGGGATTCCACCACTCTACTCTTTCGTCGGCTCGATGGGTGGTGCTCCCACCCAAACCAATCCTTCAGAACTCTCTACAAGTTCCGAAATCAAGTACTCATGGGGATCAAACATCTCTATTGCTTGATGGGATCAAGATGATCCAGAGTTCTAATCAAGTAATAATGGGGTCAAAACCAGTTCATCATTACATATATATATATATATATGTGGATCACTTGGAGCCTCTAATCGGTCACTGATCGGAACACGAATCAAATGTCGCTTCAAAAACTGCTGACGCGACCGGTTGATCTTCTCAAGGAATTCTGTTCACTGGGACCCCTCTACTGGTCACTTCACCTCTAGTTACTGGTCCCCTCCACCAATCGGTGGTCTCAGTCTCCAGCGACTCTCCACCCAGTGGCATCCCAATGACCTCATGCTGCTTGGGCCCGACGGTCCAGCTGAGTTGGAAGAGCATCGTCCGGTTCGATGCCGAGAGAAAGGGGCTCGGCACGCCCAAGCGCGCCGGCGCCGAGCTCAAGAATTGCCTGGTTCGTGCAAGCGGGAAAGGTGGAGCTGCCTGAACCTCCAACGGTGTCACTCCAATAGGTTTGTATATATATATAGTATATAGATTAAGTCAGCTTGGACAAGTCTACTATGCTCACAATAACAGAACCTCCATCTGCTTAAAGAGCATGACCATATATATATATATGCTTTGCTTTTACAGTATTTCTGGCGACAAGGATTCTCGAAGGACCAAACAATATTAAACGATAATCATTGCAAGGCAAGGCAAAGAAGCAAGCACGTAGCTTGCTCGGGACAAACTGGGTGATTTACTCTTCCTCTTGCTTCTCAATCAATCTTCTATCAAACCATGGCACACAGCTTCAGGCAAACATCATAAGGTCGTCCACAATAGTTCGACAAGTCAAGAAATTTCACTCCCCTCGCTTCGGACATACGGCCTTCTCAAGTCAACAACTGACAAACATCACACGAAAAAAACACCCAGCTCAGGAAAAAAAACACAAGTCTTGGGCTTGGGACCCAACTTTCATATTATCTATGTCTCAGCCGTCTCTGGATTTCATGCCGTTCCCAGCTCTGCCCAGCGGCAAGTGGTCGGTCCAGTTGTGCAAGGTGTCGGGATGCCGTGTGTCCAAGGAGCTGCACAGCGAGCGGAGCCTGCTGTAGAAGCATGTTCGGTAAACCAACATTCCGAAGGAATTGACAGGACTGGAAAGAAGGCCAGGTGAATCTCTGTGTGAGATTCAGGCAATTCATCAAACCAAGGCATCAAATAAGGGCACTAAATTCTCGGTGGTACCAACAGTCACCCAGTTCTTCTCCCGACCATCTCGGCGGCTGACCGTTGCTGTGACCTGTTCGTCTTGGGAAAGAAACACGCGTCCCGGGCATGGAGAAGTTCAGAGCTGAGCGTTCTTCCACTCACTTTTGAATCACACCCCTAAAGGGATCAAATAGTTTCTCCATTTCTCCACGTTTCTCTCAAATCACGTTCAGTGCAAAATGGATGCCTTTGTCTATCAAATACCCATCTCTGTTGGCCCAGCCCAAGATTGAAAGAATCACATAATGCTGTATGTTTCAGATCGAAGGAACAGTCAGTTCTTGGCGATGGTTGATTCCACATGTTGATTCCTCAGTTCTAGATCTACCAATAGCGGGAGGCCATCGCTGTTAGGTTGGGGCCATCACGGCCATCGCTCTTAGGTTGGAGGCCATCGCTACTAGGATGGAGGCCATCGATCAGTTCTTAATTACATCCTCTTCTTTGGCGGCCTTCCAATTTGCCAGCCTACACAGCCTACACCCCTCTACAATACTTGATCAGCAGTTCGTCATGTTCTGATCATCTTATATTGCTTCATGTCAAAAGGCAATATGTTTAGCTTAGCTATTATAATATGCTGTTGTTGTGTACAATCGACTGGCACACCAAGCTCATCTTCTTTCACTTTCATCCTTTTCTGTGGTAGTCTAAACATGGGTGTCGATGGGCAAACACAGGTGTTACACAGATGTTCTCCAGGTACAACAAGCAAAACACCTCTGGGCCAGTCTGACAGGAGTTCGTGCCGCTCTGCCTCTAGAACACTCACATGTTCCAAACAGCCCCACCATTCACCCACCCTTTCCCACATGCTGGTCATCCTCGGTCCGACTCGATTTTTGAGCTGGGCAACTGTTGCACCGCCCTGGCTGCGAAATGTTCCCGGGCGATCTGTGAGCAGCTTTCACAGGAGATGAGGATCAGCTCCACATCCTTGGCCAGGATCATCCAGCATCCCGATGTCCCGCGAACGGAACTCTGGAGGCCATCGCTATTGGGGGGAGGCCATCGCTACTAGGTTCCTTTTGATACTGGTAGCTGGTTCTGGCCTTTTTCGAAATCGTTGACGGAGCCAGCTTGAACCCCTGAGACAGCACGAATTGGGACACCAAAATTGAACACCTCAAGGGACGCCGACAACCCACCGGCCAGGTCACTGGAAGCCTGAAACAGATTCCGAAAATCACCACCACAGTAATGCACCATGTACTGCCTGCCCCAATGCAGATGTGGATACCCAGCCTGGCCAAAGAAGTCTAGAAACCCACAAAGCAAACCGTTTTCTCCCCTACTAGTATGATGCTCTGCTGGCATACAATGTTCTTCAGTTTGTCCAACACAACCCCAAAAAACCAACCACAGCCACAACCAGACCCCCACAACAATCACAACCACAATGACAACAAACACCATCTGTTCTTTTTGGAACCGCGGAACCGTCCATCATCTCCATCCCCGTCCGATCCCATGGAACCGTCCACCGTCCACCGGTCGCCTGATTCACGTTCTCGGGGAACTCGCGCATGAAGACGGCCTGTGCCTCCTGAGGGAAGCGCGGTCTCCGGAGTCCCAAGAGCCGCGGTGACTGGAGTCGCGTTCTCGGGGTTTTCAAGGCGCAGGGAGAGAACCACATCTTTCGCCCAGTTTTATCCCATTACTTCAGCTGAAATTGAACCACAAGTTGTTTCCACAGGTTTGGGTAAGTTTAGGAAAGTCCTGACCAGTAAGTCAACCTTCATCGTCGCCATTGTGTATTCTCCATGTAGTGTCTTCCACAAGAGGCCTACGTCTTTGGGGTTGTTGGACATCGGTGACTGATTTGCTGTCTGCTCCATTGCTGTCTGCTCCAGGCATCTTGTGTTGGCATTCTTGGATCTTTTCACACGCGTTGATGGCTTGACCAAAATCTATGACAGGATATTTACATGCCCCCCGTGTCTTGAGCATTTGGTTTTGTCTCAGCAAGTTTCTTTGTCTCAGAATCGAGTCTTTAGCAGCATCTTGTCCCATGGGACCTCCTGACAGTGTTCAAACGTTTATACAAACTCTCTGGTTCCAGGCCAGCTTTCACAAGTCTTGCTCCGCCCCTCAGTGCCAAGGGGCATAAGTCTGTGTGCCCTTCACTGGCTCAAAGGTGAACCTGGCAGTGACTGTTCAAACGCCGGGCCATCAGACCGCTGGATTGGAGCGAACCGTGAACCCCGGAGAAAGAGAGACTCCATAACGAGTGAACCCCAGATCTGTTCGGCTTTGGGTGAAGACCTGGGAAATTGTCGAAAGAAGAACATGTTTGGGGAATCGACCTATAGAGAAACACCCGCAACTGGCTTGAGACAGGAGTTGTCACTGAAAGGGGAACACATGATACCATCATTTTTCCAAAGCGTTGATTGAAGCAGGGCTTTCTATCCAAACCACAGGGATGTTGATGTTGGAGGTGCAAGATGGATCCAACAACCTGCTGCAAAGCAAGGGAATTGGGACATGACCCCTTCCAAATTAGGTCTACACAGCATCAGAGGCATCTAATCACCGTGTCTTGCGTAAACTGAGATTTCTCCCAAAAACGTGTTGGGCCCGGCTCCACCAAGGCACTTGCAGTGGTCCACCAGACGCAGGGCGAAGGGCGCACAGATCGCTGCCAGCAAAGCCCAGGCGACCAGGACGATCCTTGGAGGATCGACGTCGGCGACGACTGTGTCGCAGATTCCGATCCTTTTTCCGTGGTTGATTGATGTGGGGATTGCAACACTGCTAGTCCAGTGAGAAAGTAGTGTGGGCTTTCCATTGCCCAAATATAGAACTATATCAACTTCAAGTAGATTGGTAAAAAGAGAGTGCTCCAGTCTAGTGTAATATATGCATAGTTCCGGTTCCCAGTCAGTTCCAAGCCAAAGTACGGTTTAGTGCGGAGGACACTTAGACGACACTGAAGCCATCGAACCTCTTTGGCTGGATGATCTACACTCGACCGCTTACATTTGTTCTGTTCCGCAACACAAAGAGGACATCGATAGGACTCCTGACATCGTTTTCAGAAAACTAAGGATAACTCAAAGGAACTCAAACAACCAGCTTGGCCGAAAACAACTAAAGAAACACAGGATGAGCTAGGATAACTATGTTCAAGTTCAGGCGAAGCAGCGAAGCTGGACAACTTACATCATCTGCCCAGGCTTGTTCAGGCTCGTCAAGCCTTCAACCGAGAGTCCGGTGGCGGCGAATGAGATGATCGCAGAACTTGCCCAATGCGTCCATGGCGAAGTCCGGCGGTCAGCGCCACCAAGTTCCGCCGAAGAAACGAAGGCGGTGTGGGGACTCTTTGGTTTGCACAGGGCGGTGCGGGGGGGACTGCACGTGTGGTGCAGCCTCTGAAACTCTAGACAAAAAGCTCGGTGGAAAAAAAAGACCTGGATAGCAATAGGATGACCCTGGGTGTCCAACAGAAATGCCCTCTCTGGCATCGACTTTGAGATACTGGTCTGTCCCCTTACCACGAAGTCGGCCGTGCTTAGTGTGCTGCACCTCACAGCCCACAGACCGGACCCTCTTGGCCACGCGAGGAGTGGCCGTTTGGGGCCTGTGGGTTGGATCCAATTGACCCTGCCACTGAAGCCGAATAGGAAATGTTCATGGATCTGAAGAAGGATATCATGCATATCTACTATAGATGACTGCAATCTTCTCATTCATAGACCTAGATCTAGCGTTGAGATCACTTAGATCGTATTGCTTTTTATATCCTTTGAGTGGATCAAAGAGCAAGTGCCTGAAAAATTGTGGCAGAACTTCTCCGAACATCGGTTTCAGCATCAACATCCTCAAGTTGACGATGACAATCTCTGATGATTATGCATGTCCATGTCCTCGGATGTTCCAAGCCAACGGCTCCCTGGGCGGTAAAGCACCTGGGAGGCCTGTGTATGTTTTGGACCAAATCGCCAACCAAAAACAAAACCGTTCACAGCTCAGGGTTTCATTATCTGGTAGATGGGTATGTATACCTACCAAAGACTCAAGACCACCAGAAAAATGAAAACTCAGACCCAGTGGGCCTGAAAAACCTCCCTCTTCCAAGAAAGCTGCCTTCGGAATGAAATCCTTCAGGATCTTTCAGGTCTGACATGGTATTAACATGTATGAACACATTCCACTGAGCCAAGAGTGAATAAACCCTATGCCCCCATGGCAACATGTTCCGACCGCCATGGGTTACCCTTCGCTGGACAAGCTCCCTCTACGGACTGACCGACTGCCTCAAACCGACTCCTCATGTGATGGGAGATGCTTCTTCGAAGTTGTTCCCTGGCTTTGACTTTCAAGTGGAAATTGACACAGTTGTTGTGTCAGCTCTATTTGCACGTTCTGGCCAGATGCAGCCACTTGTCAATCCCAACAAACATAAGCGATATTTTGGACACTTGCAGACTTCAGCAAATAGTCACAAGTAGCAATACTGCAATTGTTCAATGCCAGCTGTCATGTCAATGACCCAGGTCAGGTCAATACACCCTAAGGGGGATGAACTGCTAATCAGCCCAAAACTCTAACACTCATATTATCCAGGCTGCCCATGTCGCATGACCCCGCATCAAAAAAAGGCTTCCACAAACATATCCAAGCATCTATGAATCAATCTCCCTGCCCTCGTTCCTCTGGAAGTTCCGTCCCTGCCTGAGCTCCTCGGCCGAGAGCTGCCCATCGCCATCTGAGTCAAAGGCCTTGAAGGCCTCGACGCGCGAGGTCCCAGCGTCTGGGTTCAGGGGCTGCTGCGGATCTCGGTGATGTGACCCGTGATTACTAGCAATAGTCGTTGTAATTGTGGTAGTAGTAGTAGTAGCAGCAGCAGCAGTAGTAATGTAGCAGTGGCAGTAAGTAAGAGAAGCGCCTTCATATGTCGTCCTTCTGGGCGTTTTGGACAGTCTTCCACCAAAAACAACTCCACGCCGTCGCCTCATTGACTTTTGTCTGCTGACTGGCGTCCAATTGCGTTGCAACCTCAAGCGGTTTTTCAGCTCGAGGATAGGTGTTTCAGAACATCCCATCTGACGAACGACGACTGGATTCGGTGTTGGCATCGTACCCCCAAAGCAAAAGCTTTAAAAGCTTATACCCTACAAGCATCGGCCTTCGCCAAGGTCTCGACCCTCACCCTCGAGTCTCTGGTGACGGTGGCTGGATATGGCACTTGCTTTGGTGGGAAAGGTCAAATCATTGCAGGCAACACTCCTAGTAGCGTCCCTTGTTCCTAGTAGTAAAAGGCCAGGATCCCCGTTCGTAGCGTCCTTGCTCCGTTCGTAGCGATGCCAGGAGTCCCTAGTAGCTTCATGTAGCTTCTAGTTGCTTTGTGGCAGGCAACACAACTGATATGTTTGCTTCCGGTGGAACATGGTTGGTCAATCGGTTGGTCCATAGTGGAACTCGGCATGGTCCAACCTTCCACCCCACAAACATGGACCTTCCATCCCACGTGGAACATCGAAGAACCTCCTCCGAGCCTTGGCCATGTTGTTGGCTTCTTGCTACGTAAGTGGCTACGTTCTTTTCGCGATTCATGCATTCATGCGCCATGAGCATCAAATATATATAGCATCCTCTTCCTCAACAACAGAAACAACATGAAACAACAAAACAAGGGTCTCACAGTGACAACACTTGGAAGACCACTTAATATAGCATCGAACTAATAGCGATGCACTTAGCTACATGGCGTCCAGGGTGCGCGATGCACTCTCGGACCCGGTCACCGCATGCGGTCCCTCGACGTCATGCGGTCATGCCGGTCGTCACCGACTCAGTTGACCATGGATTGGTTTGGATCAGTTGAGAAAACGATGAACAAGGGATGAAGATAGTCCAAACATGTCCAAAACAATGGTTCGATATGTTGACCCCGAATTCACCTGTAAAAGGCATTCACATGGCATTAAGCCTTTAAAACATGATACAGGGAATGTAGGTGAATCTTGGATGTATGGATAGATCAGACTATTGGTGAACCCCCCAGTTGGTGAACCTAGGGGGCTCCGTTTGACGGCCCTGTCGGCCCTGACGCTACGGGATATTGACTTCAATGGCGACGCCAATGGGCTCCAAGAATTGTCAGGTTTGGCTTGGGTAGGTGCTCCATGCTTGAATTGATCAACTTCGAGCCGTGGTGAACATGAGGTGGAAGGCGACTAGGGTGCCTGGGGAATTCCAAATCATTCGACGAACCCCCAGCTTGGGAAACCAAAAGAATCGTGAACGCATAACACCCCTCAACACATTCAAACAAGTAATGCCGGGATAAGCCAGCCACCTGCCTTCGGCTTCCAAATAGCAAACCTCCACCACCCAATAGCAAACCAATACCACCTAAGAACCCAAAAGAATACCCTCCATAAGAACCGTTTGAAGAGAGACCTTCGGACGGAACTCACGGCTCCACGAAACCCAGACGCTCCCGGTCCCGGGCGCCCCACGAAGCGGGTCACGAATTTCTCGAACTCCGATCGCTGGCCGACCTGGGACGAGACCGGCACGGGGAGACCGAGGAGCGAGCGAGGGACGAGACCGAGCTGCCCGACCGCGGACCGGCCGATGGACGAGACCGAGCTGCCGGTGTTTCCGAGTCCTGCGGTATGACAACGGATGGACCGGACATGGAGGACCTGAGAGGTCCATTTTTGGAGGAATAGAGATGAAGACGTCATCCTAGTGCACTAGATTTGCACTAGTAAACATGCATGGAACATGGCTGGCTGCCGTCTTTCGTTTCGCTGGGTCATCTCGTTCTTCCATGTTCTTCCTTTAGCAGGACGACTCATGACTTTGTGATGCGTCGGTCACAGGCATGGGGAAGGGTGTTGTGGCATGCCCTAAATCGTCTGGCGGCAAACATGTCTCATGTCATGTCGAAAGATGTCAAAAGTGGTTGAAAGTTTCCTCCAAAAGGACTCACCAAGGAACTTTCTACAAATCAACAAAGCAACATAGACTCGACCAATCCAATTGGTCATGCTCCTTAGCAAAGCGACCAGCAAACCATTCAAAGCCTTCCCAGCACCATAACCACTCATCTCAAGCCTATTGGCCTATTGGGGTAAGCCCACCCAGCTACCAAAGCAACATCCTCGTCTTTCCGACACCAGTGCTTGGCACCCCAGGCGGCCAGCAAGCTCCGGAGCTGATCCTCATGCAAGACACCAGCCGGGTTGCCTCGGAGCGTGCGGATTTCCGCGCGTGCCGGGCTCCTTCCGGACGTGACCGTCGTGGCCTCGGGCTCTTCATTGAAGCGCCCAATTGAAATGGAACATCCTCTTCATATGGGGGGTTTATGAATACCAAGAGTCCACGACGCTTCTGAAGTATACGAGCAAAAACATGTGAACGGTCAATAGGTACAAGGTCACACTGAAACAAACGCCCATGATCAACTCCGTGGGGGAATTGTTTGGGAACAAGAGTGCCAAGGTACAAAGAGAGATGAACAGCTTCAGTCCAGCTACTCTTAAAACACAAAAAAAAACACATCCAGATTTCAACCAGAATCTGGCTCCCTCAGTCACTGGAAACTAAAGGTTAACCGAACTATCCACCTAGTTAATAAGGTGTGTTCCCGTATGTCCTCCAAAAAGCCTTGGGCCGTCGATCCACGTCCGATGTTCGATCCAAAACCGGGCCCAGACTGCGGCCTGCCGACCCTCCTGGTCCCGAGCGCCGCACCTGACCTCCACACCGGGCATCCCCACTATGCCCTGCGAGGCCCATTTGTACAAACCACCTGCGCGCACAGTGACTACTGCGCGGTCAGAACGAACGGAACGATCCGGTGGGTGGCGAGACTCTCCCAGACTCCCAGTGAGATCGAATCCCTGGAAGGTTCGGACCAGTCTACCGCTTGGCTGGTTCGGGGGGCCAGTCGACTTAGTAGACACTGCGTACTGGACTGTTGGTACAGTCCTTAACTGATGCATCACCAGTTGGGATGATGCTGTGATCCTGCCTTAAATGGCAAGAACTGGATCATATTGGATGGAACTGGATGTCCGATTGGATTGCAATCCCTACAGCATGCTGATGAAAGATGACACCAGCCAACAGTAATGATCCTTAGGAGTTATGGCCAAGTCTGATTCAAAAAGGAAGAAGCTGAGATTTCCTGAATCAACTGAATGGTCATTATACTCACACACTTAAGTGGCCTTCTTTTGCATGAGCCTCCAACCTACTAGCGATGGCCTCCAACAGTCCCACTCACACAGCTGGTGGCCTTTATTTGTATGAGTTCCACAAGCTCCGCAGTTCCACGCCTATCCTTGAGGCAGCTCTGTGCGGTTGGCCGTTGATGCTCCTGATGGAGCATTGTCCGGTCGAGGGTTCGCGACTCTTCGACGACCGGTCCGGTCGTCAATCCGCTCTCACAGGGCCCACCGCGAAAGAACGCAGGGTCCTGTTTTGGTCAGATGTTCAGGTGGAATAGATCATTGTTTTTTCTTTAGACCCACATGGATCCACATGGTGGATGATGATTGGACAACAATGGGACTTCCCAATGATTCCTCTCAGGTTTGTCCAGATATCACCGACGCTTTGAGACCAACCCGGCTCGTTTTAAACGTTTATAGATATTTATATATAGGTAAACACACAGTATCATAGCGTTGCCAAGTGGTACTCCCAATGCCCGATATGAGAAAGGGGGGCCCTCCGAATCCGCTGAACAAATTGCTGGATTGAAGGCGCCCATCTGCAAATAGTCCTGCTGTAGCTGGTAGCTCATATATGAAAGACATTGAAAGACCATCCACAACTGACCTCTATATATAACATGGATCTACTGCTTTCACTTAACTTACCTTGATCCACCACCTTTTGATTCACCAACCACTCACCTGTTTCTCTAAGCAACGAATTCAATCCTTTCAAGCCAGCCGCCAGCTATACCACTTGGCCCAGCAAATACCCCACGCCCACCCCGACGGCCGCACCTTCTTTTGAAGCATCTGCCTCCCATTGATCCAAAAAGACCACGAAAGTCCCGTCCGGGCGGACTGTACCACGACGCTGGAGCACGACGCCGGTGTGGTTCGGCGGTCCAAGTGTTATTTGTTGTTTAAATGTTGGTAAGATGCAGGTTGACTTCAGAACTGTAGCATTGGCACCATACACTGATCCAATTCACATGCAGCATATCTCTGATTTGTTCCAAGAGACACAAATCGGAAGTCTGCAATCCAACGTCTCATGAGTTTACAAGTTGGCCCAGGCTCTTCCCCATGACCTGGACTTCGACTTTGATGGCATTGATGTGACAGAGGTCTCAAAAGCACAACAAAAAAAGTCCTTGGATCGGCTTCGACTCTGGCTTCCTCTACTCTGCGCCTGCAAATCTGTTGAGCCTCGTGGGTAGCTCCACCCATTGCAGCCTCAGTGCCAAAAGCAGAACGGGCTTGAGCTGTGTATTCCAGCAACAAATCGCGGTCTGGCCTGGTTCCATCAGTTGGAGTCTGAGATACTATTTCTCTGTATATAAACAAGTCATAACAAGTCCAATTCAGGATGTTGAGCTTGTCTGGTTTGCACTTTCTCTGCCGAATCGGACCAGATGCTGAGGAAGAGGAAAAGGAAGAGGTGTATGATCGGTGTATGTGTGTGTGTGCGAGAATTCTGGAGCATTCCCACCAAATCCACATGCCGGGCATGAGTTCACAAAAAGCCCTTTGTCTCAGACATCAGAATGGGATAGGAGCCAAATGCCATGCATACTAAAAGCTTCTTGTTACTACTAGTAAGGCACCTGTTTCTAGAAGCGATGCACTTGTTCCTAGTAGCGAACAAAAACAAAAAAAACACGGAAAACGTTTGGATATGTTTGGATCTCAAAACGGCCAACAGCTCCCTCTGGCCGAGATCCGCACCCAGTCGGGCTCTTGGCGCAACGCCTTGGGGAACTCCTGAAGGTGGAACCAAGCACAGGAATGAGGTTTAAGAGTTAAGAGATGAACAAACTATAACAAATAAACTTACATGTTGCACAGTTGGAAGATCTATGATAATCTATACTAAATGAAACTAACAATCGTAAAACAAATCTCTTGGACCTTGGACACCCTTTCCTTCTCATTTGGGGACCGCCCTGGGCGCTCCTTGAGTGTGGCAGCCACGAAGGGAAGTCGCCCAGAGAGCAGGAAGAAAAGCATGCAGCCAGCTGACCTGATGCAACCATTTCTGAGCCCGTGTTGAATTTTCTCACCCCAAACAAGATGTACTTTCATGTTTACCGCACGCCCTCTTCCTTAAACGTCTTAAACCTTATATCATCAGCTTAAAGGTTGGTGGTATCATCTGTTTATGCAGTTCCGTAGAAATTCAACAACGTGAGACTTCGCTCCGTTCGGTAAACGTTCCCGGTTCCACCGTTGGGAGTGCACATTTCGTGCGGAACTGTCTCAAGGATCGACATCGACAAAAGCACCGACAAGCACCGACAAGATGCTCAGGATGATCGAGCGGTTTGATAACTTTGATGATTCGAGGATTCTCAGTTTCAATCTATCGATCGAGCGATTTGGGGAACGAGTTGAGAGGAGTTCAACTCCTTGCCCGATTGGTGACCCCAGCTCCGTGCTTGGGCTTATCTTCAAACAGTCGAACACTCTTCCCGAAGCGACAACGTCACTGTTCGCTGCTTTTGGACGACCACATTCATTCAAACAGATTAGATTCATGAGCATACTCCCAGCATCCATCAATATGCCCTAGCTAATATGTTTCCTGTTGCTGCCCGAATGCCCCGAGTCAGAACGCCCCAAGTCCAAAGGTTTCCAACGAACATCGCTAATAGTAATGCCAGGAGCTCCTAGTAGCGTCCTGGCTACTAGCAGCGATGCACCTTGTTACTAGTAGCTTCTTGCTACTACTAGTAATGCCAGGAGCTACTAGTAGCGTCCTGGCTACTAGCAGCGATGCACCTTGTTACTAGTAGCTTCTTGCTACTACTAGT